TACTAGATGCGGCAGCCATCAGACTTTGGGACTTCACATGCAACACTAGAGACGTACTATTGCCCTGATCAGCAGATGTATTTATGAGAGAACACCTGCATGTTAACACATCAGCTGCCATCCGAGAGTCAATGGTCAGGACGTACCAAGGGGAAGATAGGCATACGGAGGGAATGCAAGAAGTACGAAGTCAAGATGTGGACGCGATGGCAGGTTGATATGGGACCATACGACGACGTCATCGCGGACGGATAAGTAATTTTGGGCAGGCAAGTCCCCCTTATAATAGAAATCTGCACAAGCGGTTGGGGATGTTGAGGGAATCTGGAGAGAATGTGCATGTTCCCACCAGATTCCCATCAAAGGGGGATTTACTGGGGAATCCGTGGGTGATATGCGCGGAATACGCAAATTCCCAGCATGTTCCCCGCCACCGTAATATGGCGCTTCACGCAGTGACAGCGTTTTACCATACAAGGCATGGTAGGTCAAGCGCCAGCATCGCATCGCGCTGAGGAGATTGATTGCATTCACTCGCTCGCTCCCCACTAGCAGGACCACCGTCGACTCGCACCTTAGCCATGGGCAACTTCGTCTCAAAAGCCAAATTTCTCCTTTTCGCCAGCATAGAGGTAGCCCGGATGTTTAGGGTACTGATGAAACGCGTCGAGCAGTCCCCTGGGGTACCAGTCAAGAACCCGACGTTGTCATTTTGGATGGTCCCTTTAACACCCATTCCCCATGATCTGTCAGCAGGACTGCCTGACTATGCCGACGTAGTCGTTATTGGATCTGGTATTACGGGAACCTCTTTTGCTTATACTGCGCTAGCCCAAGACAGCGCACTCGAGATTGTGATGCTCGACGCTCGAGACATTTGCTCAGGGGCAACCGGCAGGTATCTGTTCATCTTGCTCAGAACTTTTGGCCCCACCCTCATTAGGACGTACTGTGTATGAATGGAGGCCACGTCAATCCGCCTTCCTACCACGATTATTCCGAGCTGAAAGAGAAGCATGGCGAAAAGGATACTCGTGCCATGTTCGCATTCCGACACGCTCATCTGGAGGAACTGAAACGCGTCGCGCTCGCAGAAGGCATACTCAGCGAGTCCCAGTACCGTGAGACAGAGCATGTGGACGTTTTCACTTCCGAGGATGCTTTTGCTACCGCCAAAGCCGATCTTGCCAAATGGAGGGCCGATATGCCTAGCCAAGCCTCACATGTCAACCTGCATGAACGAGACGAGGCTATTCAGGTGGTGCCATCATTTCTCGCTGATACTATGTTTACTGATTCTGCACTCCTCTGGTGGTGATACATCAGACATTCCATCTATCAGACCAGGTTGTCGGGTGCATATCCAATTCAGGCGGTGCGATACATCCTTACCGCTTTGTTACCTCCGTCCTGGAAAGGCTCCTTGCTCGACACCCAGATCGGTGAGACGTTTCTCCCACCCATATTTGTTGCTTGATCATTGACATACTTCTAGTTTCAAGGTCTACGCTCACACCCCGTGCACCTCCATCTCCGTCGCAAATGAAGGTGAAGACGACGTCTACATGGTGCACACATCGCGTGGTATCATTCGCACTAGGCATGTTGTGCACGCAACCAACGGCTGGTCTGCCCATCTCCTCCCCGGCCTCATCGCGAAGATTGTACCTACGCGCGCGGCGATGTCCACTCAACGCCCAGGCAGTCTCCTCCACCGCACCACTCTCTCCGGGCTGCGCTCGTTCGTGTTTTATCGCGGTGGCGCTGGATACGACTACCTCAAACAACTCCCTGTCGGTGAGCACGAGTCGATGTTCGGAGGCGGATGGACCATGGCGGTCGACGAAGCGGGGGTGCCTGACATGGGCATTTCTGAAGATAGCCTGGTGAATCATGCCGGGCAGAGCTACCTCAGCGGCGCGCTACCACAGTACTTCGGACTGGACAATTGGGGCGCAGACGCTCAACCTCAAGATGTCACGATCGAGAACGCACCCAAAGAGACGCAATGGTTCTTGGGCAGGACGAAGGCGCAATGGAGCGGGATACTGGGCGTGTCCGTAGACATGTTGCCTTGGGTCGGTCGTCTGCCCAACGAGGTGTCTGGGCGGTCTTTTCCGAAGCAGAAGCGCATATCAGCGACTGACAAGGTCACCGCTGGCGCAAAGGAAGCACACACGTCCGCTCCCGGTGAGTGGATCGCAGCAGGTTATACCGGGGATGGCATGGTACACGCGTGGATGAGTGGGAAGGCGTTGGCATACATGCTGCTGGGCAAGGAGGACCAGATCTCTGGTTGGTTTCCTGAGATGATCCGTATGACCGAGAAACGCTGGAAGAAGGCTAGCATTGAGGAGCTCTTCGCTAAGTTCATGCAATTGAGTTCGCTACCAGTGCTGCCAGTGTATGGTGAGTCATAACTGATACTGTCGTCTTATGCCTCGATTCGGGGGGACTGACATGCAGTTTCTAGGCCCCTTACTGGCTCATGGTCTGACGAGAATGTGATCAGACTATATGCCACTTTACTTCTCTTGCCCCCGACAGCGACGGACCTGTTTGTCCCATGTCTCATGTATGTATCGTATGACTGTTGAACCCCTTTCACTACCGTCTATCATGTTTTGATCGTCTATCGACGATATACACGACTGCGTAGCGAAGCCTCACACTCTTCCCTCGTCCAATTCTCGATGAAGAACATTGATCTAAATGAACAGCGTTAAAGGACGAACATACGTGTGAGAGGATTGGGGGCTGTACCGTCCGCTCAATGATGACCGGACCTGAAGACGAGAAGAATTGACTCGTGAACACTCCCAGATTGTTCCTGCAAAGTGCACCGCTCCACAGGGGATCCGCCAGAGCACCCAGAAATGCGTGTTGTCGCCCAGCGCTCCACCATTCGCGAACGTCGTCAGCGTTTGACGTTCAACGTTCAGACATGGGTCCCAACGTGGCCGTACAGCAGAGGAGAAAGTAAGAGGAAGCAGAGCGCTGCGCGGGCAGGCATGGGCCCCGGAGCTACTCTGTAGATCCGGTGATCGCGGCCGACGTCAGTCGCCCAACTCGGACCGCACTCCGATTACTATGTCTCGCGTACGCAGTCTCCCACTTGACAGTTTCTCGACATGGGCCATATCGACTCCTACCTGTTTCGCCTTTTCCCTCTCCTTCTGTCAAGACAACGATGGTCCCGACAACTTAACTCCTGCTTAGCCAGGCTTTGCCGCACAAAACTCGACCTCTCACTGGAAACAAGGACTGCTTCGCGAACATCGTAGGAACTCCAACTGTGTTCTACATGACCGGGGTAGCAGATGCGTCTCGGAAGGTACAACTAGTGGATTAGGGCGGGAAAAATGCGAACTTGGTGATGTTGCCTCACCTGGTGGTGCTAGAAACGCCTTTTGCAGACACTTCGTAGTATGTCCATCATATTCCTATTGTGTATCGAATGGCATGTCAGACGTATGCATGCATATATCCAGCCGCCTCTACCCTGGTTCTACGTTCACTGCGACCGAGCCAGGCTGTGTCCGCATCATCTACATTCTGCATCCCGTTCATCCCGTTCATCGCGCTATGCAGCGTCCTCCGCGGGAAGCGGCTCTCAAAGACCAAGTCATCCAGGCCTTCTGACGATGACGTTGACTGTTTGTTCTCCCAGTAAGACAGAGCTTCCACCCGTCAGTATCGTGGAACTGAATGCGAGCAACACCTGCTCGGGCTGTTTGCAGGCTTTGGCAGCACTGTCTTGCACCAAAACGGTGGGAAGAGCCGGGAAGGAGGAGACATCGCACTCTGCTCGTAGTTCTGGTACTGGCGTGGTACCTATCCCAAACAGGATCCCAAAAAATGTCATCCCGCGAAATGGCCTTGAAGGTCAGCCGGCGACCCTCGACGGGCATTGACATTGTAAGCGGATTCGGTTTCGCTAGATGTCCGCAAAGAGCTGACACGCACCACTAGGGGCTTGTTCTCCCAGAAGTGACACGATTGCAAATTCCGAGACGTTGCGGCTGATATGATCTTGACCAGCGAAGGGTCTCGAAAATACGCGTGCGGAGAGCGGGCCAGGTGGCAGTACTTGCTCAGCGAGCGGAAGGTAGGTTGCACTTTTGAAAGTTAGGACTAGCTTTCCTCCTCTCGGTGTGGATATCCTCTCTGTAGCAGCCGCGGCCGCTGCATAGCCTCATGTCTATCTTGGGTACGTAATGGGGGTTTCGTTTGTTCGTAATATCCATGTTCGATTGTACGCGCCACTCTTGTGACGTGCCCCTTGCTATTACTGCAAGCTTGCACCTAGGTATTTCAGGGCACACACCGAGGTTATACACATGGTTGGCCTCTCCCCAACCCCTGCTAGGTATGCGTAGCTTCCCCCCACGACATTTGACGGTCAATTGACTTCAACCATCATCTGCCCCAGAAAGTCGGCCAATTAATGATGATATGACACGGGACGCACAACGCACTCGATGTTCCTCTCGCGCATTAGAAGCTTATGGAGAGCCTCCGCTCGCGGACATCTCGGACATCCCGGGCATTCCGGTCGTGCTAGGTACGGTAGTGATCCTCCCATACATACATTGTGTGCTTCTAAGCTGATGGGGGACGATCGCTCCACAGCATTCTCGGTATACTTGACGTCAGCCCAAGGCATTTCACGTCGATGAAACCTTCCGACGCATCTTCACACATCCTCCGGGCCATAAACGCATTAAGGCTTCACTCCCGCCCCGCACACTCGCGCAATGAGACAACAGTCGGGATGGCTCCAAACTACGCAAGGGGAATCTTATATACACATGTATTTCGACCACTCCAGTGTATTGTGTGCAGGAACCCGAATAGGTCCTGGAACCCGGAGAGCAACACAGTGCGTCCGAGCGAGTAAGGTCAGCCTCTCTTGTGTGTAAGATCGGTCGGTGGCTGCTCCAGACCCCCGATTGTTTTCGGAAAATGTCAGCAACTTGCGGATCTGCTGTAGGTGCACCTATGCGGCTGACCATGGGACCAAGGGTACAAGGTCAGCCGCTGTGAGCCTCTCCTCCCCATATATATAAGGCATATGCCCTCTGTGATGCGTTCCCTCAGCAGCTTCATTCCTTCAGCAGCTTCCTTCGCTCCTTCTTCTACTCATCCCCGTCGACGCTTTCCGGACCGTTCCACTCGCCATCCACGACAATGTTCAAGGCGTCCATTCTTTTTGCGTTCACCGCGTTGGCGGCCGTCGTCTCAGCCGCCCCCGTGGCCCCTGCCGTGAGCGGTGAGTGTTAGGCTGCGCCTGTTGCTTTTGATAGTGTTCGACCGGCTGACACGTCACTCCTGGTAGATGTCCAGGTCCTCCAGCTCGCGCTCACGCTCGAGCACCTCGAGAGCACGTTCTACAACACGGCTCTCGACAAGTTTACCGCACAGGATTTCGAGAACGCCGGGTACCCAGACTGGGTCCGCGGCCGCTTCGCTCAGATCGCGGGTCATGAGGCCACGCACGTCCAGTTCCTCACCCAAGCCCTCGGGGCCAGCGCCGCCCCCGCCTGCGAGTACGACTTGTGCGTCTCTTCAGTTTTCTTGCTGTCATTTATAGCGTGATATGTCTGATCCTGACGGGCATTCCCCACACAGCGGAACATCGATGGACGACCCGACATCGTTCGCGAAGATGTCGCGCATTTTTGAGAACGTTGGCTCATCTGCGTACCTCGGGGCTGCAAGCCTCATCCAGAACAAGGATTACTTGACCGCTGCAGCGGTATGTCCGTCCATGATGCCACCCTCATCTGCGTTGTTGACATGACCGTATGCAGTCCATCCTCGGCGCGGAGATCAGCCATACTGGATGGGTCAGCTCGTCCGTGCTGAAGGTGCAGCCATGGTCCGGGTCGTTCAGCGTCCCACTTGCCCCGAGCGCCGCTTTCTCTCTCGCGCGTGAGCTTTCGTCCATCCACGCTATATTCCGATAGAATCGCTGATCCGCCCGAGTACAGAGCCTTTCATTAAGTCCTGCCCCCAAGAATATCCTCAGCTCCCCGTCAAGCAGCTTCCCCAGCTCACGTTGTCCAACGCGCAGCCCCAACTCGGCTCCACGGTCAGCCTCTCGTTCCCCACTGCCAACTTCAGCAACAGTACACTTTACGCCGCGTGGATCGACGGGCTGACGGTGGAATACACCGCCATCAACGCCAAAGGATCGACCCAGGTTCCGAACGGCTTGCAGGGTGTCGTCTACGTCGTGGTGGTGTCGTCTAAGGAGACGCCGAGCGATGATAACCTGGTCAGCGGCGCTTCGTTGATCGCGTATGACTTCAACTCCTATGCGGACAACACCGTGTCTGGATCGCCGGTGCAGTAGTCGCGACTGAGGACAAGGGCGTATCCAGTATAACGGACTACCTAATGTAGTGACTGTGCTGTGGGATGTTGCCTCGACCTATCACTCCTGGAATACTATATAACATTCGTTAATATACACAAGTCCGTTAGCCTCTTCAAGTCTTCGCCGCCAGTCTCATTCATGGGCGCGCTGAGATCCTGGATGAGTATGAGTATTTCATGACATGCGCGTTTGCGCAGGATCAGATCGTGACCAGAGCTCAGAGTACTTGAAGCCGAGCTGCATCACATTCAGCGCTACAAGAAGACGAGTGACGCAGCAAGCATGTCGCCCATTTAGCAAGAGTCCGTCAGGGGCCGTCAGAGAGCAAGAATCAGAATGCGAGCAGGGTGGATGATACGTCGCTGGTCTGTCCTTGCCTCCGACCGACACGGAGATGGCCTGAGGCCTTGGCACGCCAAGAGAATGTGTCAAGGCAATGCTGTCTTGTCGATGTCAACTTCGATCTGCGTAGGCGCGTGATTGTTGCGTACATAGTGAGTTCCTGCCAGTGCGCCTCTGCATTTCTGGAGTTCCGTAGTGTGATATGAGCTCAGGATGGGGTTGTCGTCGTTCAAACGTTCAATAGTTGTTGGACTGAGGCCTTGGGTTATCAGACAGCGGGTATCACATATGAGTTTCGACACGAAGCGTTGATCGGCGGTCCATCGTTTTGCACACAATGTTCGGCTGCTACAGTAGTCAACTCTTTCGCAAATAGCATGCAGTTAGAGCACGAATGATGAGGGAATGCATGTCAGTATACGCACCAGCGATGCTCTCCGAGCGAGCGGGACTAGATGCTTGAATGCCATACATGCGACGAACGTGCGTGGCAGGCGTGGGTCTTGGCGAGAAGAGAGTTTGACAGAGGGCCTTCTTTCGGACGCTTCTGAACGTGGACTCGGAGGAAGACTTGGGAACCTCCTGTCTCTATCCGCCCCGGAATGCATCTCATATAGTGACCCGTGCCGCACTTCTTGCCGTCAAACCCCTTCCTCGTCGCCCCACGCTCCGGTCGTCTGCGTGCTCGATGCACTCTTCGTCCGCTTTTCGAGCAGCTCTCGTCTGCCTGCTCCTGGCGTTTGTCGGAGGTGAGCTAGAGCACACGCTGAGTATAACGCGTTGAGGATCGCGATAGTGACCGGACGCCTTCGTGATCCGGGCTAGCGGCTCGTGGCTTCGTGGTAATCGGTGCGGATGGTCTGACAGGATGGTCCCCTGAGACCCTGGTATGTGCTTCAGTTGTTGCTTCACATCGAATATTCGTCTGACTGTCGCGTTATGTGGAGGAGAGGGAAGGTGGTAAACGTGGGCGGTTTTCGGAAACGTCAGCGAAAGAGAATGCTGCAATGTCAAGCGCGGCAAATAGAGTTGCTGCATCGCCTTTCCCCGACGCGATGCAATTCGTGCCAAGCAATGAGCCATCAGCGTCAGCAGCTGCCGCTATCATCCAGCCTTTTGTGAGTTTTGTGGCTGCATCACGAGCGTCCTGTACGAAAGACTTATCGACTGGACTCAGAACGACCAGAGAATATTGACCACAGCCCCACCATGCTCTGAGAGCACATCCCGCTCTATCCGTGACTTCGGACCTTCGATCGTACGCGATGAAGAAGGCGACCAACGTGCACACCCCGCCGATCTCGGTATGCAAGTTGGATTCACAAGCGCGGATACGAAGGTGTCGGTTCTCGCGGTAGGATTGTTCGGTGTGATCTTAGCATTTCACTGTCTGGATTATCTGTGATATCAGCAAGCCTACCCATGATACAAAATCAGCGCATGGCTTACTCGAGAGTTGCACTTGTGGGCAAGCGGGTGCGCTGCAGCATACTCTGGCATGTAGCGACTTGCTTGTAAGTCCTGTTCGATTACCGATAGTTAGAGCCCACAGCATCATCGTCTGTAAGAAGATCCCTCGGGGATTTCTTGAAGAGTCCTAGACATTAGACAAAAGCTGAATGAACTTGGAAGATGAGTCTGCCATATCGCCGCGCGTCGAATGGGAGGTGGCGCGGTCGCATGTGCGTGGCTTTTAAGAAGCTGTCGCGTGGGCGGTTCCGGATTAGGAAGGGGACACGCGACACTAGAGCGCTGAGACTACTTATGTATTAGACAGGTTCAAAGACTCTTTATTCCGTCTACTTACTTACGGCGGGATGAGCGCCAGGCGCTACAGAAGCGCCTGCATAGCCTTCGGCCTCTCTTCGAACCCGGACTCGGAGTCATCCATGTTCAAGCCTACGTAAAATGGCTAGTCTACCTTCTATCTCTTCGCCGCACATGCCCAGCGAGAGGTTATCGATAGTATGATACTGGCGCGCTGTAATGCTTGTAGGATGTGAGTCGGTAATTCGAAGGCATATTTCTCTCGAATAGTTTGCCGTCGCCGCACTGAGCCAATTGTTGTCCACCCGCACCTACATCATCACACCTGACTCGGGGGAATCTGGAGGCATGCGCCAGCGTATTCAACTCACATTCTATGCATCTGGTTTGTATTGGTCCTTTATGCTGATCTTTGCCTTACTACTAACACGAGTCAGACACACCAGTCGGGATCTACTTGGCATCTGCCGCCATGCCAGTAAGCCCATCATCTGTTCACGCTGCGGCGTGATTGTGTGGGATCTCAGTTGCTTTCACTGATAATGCTGTGTTCAACAGAACGCTTACGCGATGACACGGAACGCGTTTGTTACACACACAGCGCTCAGCAAACCGACCTCAAGACCGTAGCAGTTGCGCTGGCTTCGTCTGCTGTGGATACGGAAGTGTATTCGGTGTCAAAGTTCGGGTCGTTGCGTAGCATTCCATACTCACAACTCAGCAGATCTACAATCTATGCTCCAAGCAAGCAGTCGTGGATGCGACCGGAGATTATGCAGCATGGACGTACATTGCAGCTGCCGGCTGGCGCTGAACAAGTACCACGTAGTAGTGACCGCAAGTTTAAACAGTCACATGCTTAGCCTTACCAATGGGACGTATGATGCATCTACTGTCACTTCGCCAATGGCATCAGTCTGAAACGATTGATCTACAGCGTCTTTACTATGGTCCGTGATTGGGGAAAAACCCATCCGTGCTCCGGTCACGATGCTCCGATATCATGCTGGCCAGGTCGGTCAGGACACCACTCATCAAGCAGGTGTGCTCATAGGCTCTCTCGAGTAAGAATAACTGCGGATAGACGCATCTCCTCATCTCATCTGGCGTCAGTACAATTGGGACTGTATACAATGTCATTCTCTCAGTTGCCCGCTTGTCAGTCGCTTTCGACTGAAGATGCAGACATTCGATGCCATCCTAGCTGTGCTCCTGGCCGCTCACCAAGGTACGAGGTAACGTACTCCGACTTAACGCTCAAATAGCTTTCTAGTGAGTGCGGGCCCTATCACTGTGGCAAAGCGAGGTGGTACCACTTCCACGACATCCCTCAACCCGTACAGCAAGCCCTCGGGCGCACATATCATCACCTTTAGCGGACTTACGAAAGCATGGCCGACCGACTCTGAGTCGAGCGCGTCGAGTTCGAGTGCGACTGCCCCTCCGACTCCTTCTGGCTGGCCTTTCCCCCCTTTCTCATTCTACCGTTCCCGTCGGGCGCTGCCTTCCCTTCAAGCGGATCCACTCACTGGCCTCCATATACTGTCGAGTGGAGCTGGCCCACCTCGCTGCCATCTGGTGTCGCCAGCCCTGCCGGTACCGCCCCCCTTTTTTCTCTCCATCCCGGAGGACCAATCATTCCGGCCTGTCCAGTAGTGATATGCTACTTCAGCGGTAGCGAGGTTTTTGAGCCTACTTCCGCATGGGGCACACTAGCATCTAGCGCTCCGACCGCCTCAAGCTCGGTCAGCGGCGCGACTTCTCCTGCGAGCGAGACAAGTTCTTAGGGTGTCAGACAGCGAGGCCAGTACACAACTATCTGTTCGGGGCATGGCGGCTGATCGAATGGTTTGATACAGCCGCGCGCCACGGCAAATCATCTGGCTTAGTGACAATGTATGTTCTCGACGATTTTCTTGACATTGGAATTGCACGCTCTACCTATTAAAAATGTATTGCTATCTGTTTACTCAAGAGGCTCACATGTTCCACGAGAATTCTTGATACGAATTCAACGATCATGAAAGTAAAGCACTTAGCAGCGACGGCTTTGTATCTACGTTCTTCTTGTATCTGTGTCCTTGTTGTATGTACGTGCAGTGCTTGTGAGACAAGAGAATGAGACGTGCCACCGCGCCCCGATTGAATCATCCGCGCCTGAAGAGAGAGTAGTAGTAGTATTTGGAGTTGCGACCAAAGCTGTGACGCTCGAATAGGCAATTCGAGCGCCCGTTTGCTCGGTGACGCGAGCACAACACAGTTTCGGAGCGCGTCTGAACTTTTGACTGACACTCCTTGGTTCTTGGCTATCATTTCTCTGGTCTTGTTAGTGCGACTCTTCATCAGGTATGACAGAGCATCCAACCCTGTCATGGGAGGCCATGCAAGATGGCTCCGTCTTCTACAGGCGGCACCAACTGTACTCTATCCCAGGGAAGCTACCGGGTGACTTGCAGGACTTCATCGTCGCAGGATGTCGTTATGGCGGACCAATAGGTATGGCGCTCTTCTACTAGCTCTGACGTGTTCCTTACGGCGGCGCGTCAGCTCTTATGCGCGATACCTCCAAACTCGTCGCCGTGAACCGCGCCGCGCCGGCGTTCTCCAAGGCGCAGATATCCATCTACTCCCCGGCCGGAGAGGGCATCTTGCTTTTCAGTGTGGATAATTGCTGCTCTTTTGTACAAAGGCAGTACACGCTCACACGCTCCCATAGTGGGACCAAGGAAAGATCGTCCGATTCGGCTGGACAGGCGATGAACGACTGGTCGTACTCAATGAGGAGGGTGTGTACCGAATATACGACCTGCAAGGCGAATACCAGCAATACTCGCTTGGAAGCGAGGCTGGGGAGCTAGGGATCATCGACGCGCGAATACACGAGTCTGGTCTCGTTGCGTTGACAGGGTCGTTGACGTTCTTCGAGGTGAAGGAGTGGTCAGGAGGGAAGCCACTCACGCTGGCCAATCCAGGTGTGTACGTTTTATCATATCTATCATCTCTATGAGCGCATACAAGCCGTGGCGCAGGCTTGTCACAACCTCCCCAGTCATGGGCCGTGATCCCTCCCGACCAAACTATCTCGCGACATGTTGAAGTCCTACTTTCTGTGGAGACGACGATATACAGTGTCGACAACCTCGAGAGCCTCGACCAACGTATATCCCGCGGACCCTTCACCCATATGTCTCCCTCCCCGAATGGCAAGTCGCTCGCCCTGCTCACCTTTTCTGGACTCCTTTGGGTCGTGTCGACGGACTTTCAGCGCAGCTTGGCCGAATTCGACACGAGTATGGTGGCAGGCGCGTCCGGGGACGTACATCAAGTGGAGTGGTGTGGGAACGATGCAGTGCTGGTGACCTGGCCCAATCTTGCAGTGCTGGTAGGACCGTTTGGGGATACCTTGCAGTACGTCCACCATCATGCTGTGTCACTTCGAATCACCCGTCATATCTATGTGCACACGTGTCCAGATACTTCTACTCTGGGTCGACATTCGCCGTAACAGAGCCGGACGGTATCCGTATCATCGGTCCAGACACCTGCGATTTCGTGCAAAAGGTGCCCGGTACGTCTCACGAATGCACTCCCTTCGACCCCCCGTTTATAAAGCGATGCAGCGTCCTCAGTCTCAGTCTTCCGTCCCGGCTCGACATCGCCCTCTGCTATTCTTTTCGATGCTTGGGAGAACTTTTCAAGGCGGTCGCCGAAGGCGGACGAAAGTATCCGCAGCGTGCGTCCAGAGCTCGCAGCGGCAGTAGACGAATGCATTGACGCAGCTGCGCGGGAATGGGAGCCCTACTGGCAGCGGCGCTTGCTGAACGTACGCTCTGCCCTGTGCCCTCCCAATGTTCCTGACTTCATACGTCCACCCAGGCCGCGAAATTTGGTCGGTCGTTCCTTGACCTCTACGACCCCACAGATTTCATCCAAGTCGGCCAAGCGCTGAAGGTTCTCAACGCCGTGCGCTTCTACGATATCGGGATACCGCTCTCCTACACGCAATACACGCAGCTCTCACCCACACACCTCATCTCCCGCCTGCTGGCGCGCAAACTCCACCTCCTCGCGCTCCGCATCTCTTCCTACCTTGCCCTGCCGCCTGACGCGGTGCTCAAGCACTGGGCGTGCGCGAAGATCCTCCGCTCGAAGCCGCAGACGACTGGCACGGGCAAGAACGCGGACCTCGAGTCGGGCGACGAGGCGCTGTCCCGGGTCATCGTCGAGAAGTTTGAGACGCTCGGCAGAGGGAGTAGTGGGGTGAGCTATGCTGATATCGCGAAGAGGGCATGGGAGGTGGGGAGGACGGCGCTGGCGACGAAGTTGCTGGACTATGAGACGAAGGCGTCGGATCAGGTGCCTCTGCTGCTGAGCATGAAAGAAGATAAGCTAGCTCTACTGAAGGCGGTGGAGAGTGGGGATACGGACCTGGGTATGCTCTCTTCTGCTCTGTGGGAGCATGGGTTGCACGAGGCTAATGCGATGAGACAGTGTACCACGTCCTTCTGCACCTGCAGAAGCGGCTGTCGCTCGGTTCGTTCTTCCGCCTCATCGAAGAAGGCGGGCCGAAGTTGGCACTAGCGAGCAGGTTGCTGCAGGTGTATGCGCGCGAGCAGAATCGCGACATGCTACGGGACTTCTATTACTCGGACGATCGGAGGGTTGAGAGTGCAGTGCTATGTCTCGAGGATGCCGCGAGCGCGTCCGTGCGTTATCTCCCTCCTGACGGTGATGGATTGTGGCTAATGCAATGCGTATAGGACCCGACAGCGAAGCTTACGTCCGTCAAGGCCGCTCAGAAGTTCTTTTCTGAGGATAAGGACAGGTCATTTGAAGCTAAGGTATGACTCGCTTAAATTGTTATCTTAGGCACATATACTTATCCAAAGCTTAGATGATGGACGAGAGCGTACGCCTCATGACGCTGCAGCAAACGCTGGAGAAGGAAGCCGACGGCAAGATCGCGTTTTTCGGACAGAGCGTCAACGAAACCATTCGGACGTGCCTCGTCAACGGCATGGCAAAGCGAGCGGACAAGATCAAGTCCGACTTCAAAGTTCCTGACAAGCGGTCCGTTCTTATTGAACAGTCTCTAGCCGGCCGCTGACCACGATGGCACTATATAGGTTCTGGTACGTCAAGCTCCAAGCGCTGACCTCAATCCACGACTTCGAGGGCCTCGAAGCGTTCGCCAAATCGCGGCGGAGCCCCATCGGGTACGAGGCGTTTGTGAAGCATCTAGTTGAGAAAGGGCACCAGAAGGAGGCGTTGTCGTATGTCCCGCGATGCGACGGCCCGAAGCGTGCCGACTTGTACGTGCTATGTAACGACTGGCGAGCCGCGGCGAAGGAGTGCAAGGAGCGGGGCGATAAGGCGAAGCTAGAGTGCGTCACCCGCTGCTTCGTGGTGTCTGCTATATGTGCTGATGACTGGATTGGACAGGCAACTCCGGGAGTCATGCCCGAATTCGCTGATTGCCAGAGAGCTGGAGCAGGTGGCTGCTTCGATGAAGTAGCTCATCTATCGTCGCTGTGATGCCCACTCTATGACCATGTATCCCCTCATCATGGTTGTGCTCAAACCTTCTCATCTGTGCAGAACGTATACTATGAACCCAGCAGCTAGTACAGTACTCATGGTCTACCATTCGGAAGCACGGACTTGCACGCCAGTGAACGGGACTGAGTAGGGAAGAAAGTGGCTATAGTACAGCAACAGAGCGAACCTTTGAGAGACTTCGATAGCTGGATTATTCGAATATGAAGAGATGGAGCTAATAGACGCGGCTCGAAACGCGTATCATATGGTCAGTACGTACATTTCACCATTCATGCGTCGATGATGTTGCTGAGTCGGCGCCCAGACACCGACCCATCATCTGCTCCAGACCAAAGCGTCTCTCCATCGGGAGAGAAGGCCAGATGGCGTACATGCGCGCCTGCGTGCTCCCAAAGCCTCTTTACCAGTGCACCGTCGCTCGCTCTGAACAATCGCACCGTGTGATCCCACGATGCCGTCGCAATGTATCGTCCGTCGGAGGAGAACCTGACGGCGTACACCCAATTGAAGTGTTTGAACGAGTGTGTGCATCGTCCGCCCGAAGCGGGCCATACCTTCGCAGTCCGGTCCTCTGAGGCGGACAATACGAACTTACCGTCGGGCGAGAACGCGACATCTAGAACCGGACCGGTGTGGCCTCGCAGGACCGCCAAAGGTGCCGCTCTCTCGATGTCCCAGATACGGACGGTGTGGTCCATGGACGCAGTTGCGAGACGTGTGCCGGTAGGATTGAATGATGCTGTCGTGATAGACGCGGTATGTCCACGGAGAATTGTGCGTAACTTGCCAGCCGCGATGTCCCAGAGACGACAGCCGTGCGAAACGTCCGGCGCTACAGACAGCAGCCATCGCGCGTTGGCGAAGAGCAATCGCTCCACACCAGACAGTAGCCACCGTCCGTTGTTGAAGGATAGCCTTTCCACTGATGACCCGGGTCCCCTGCCGGCAGCGTCGGGGCGAGCACCCCGCGCGAGCCTTAGTACGCGTAGCTCCTGGAAGGTGCGGCCATGGAGGATGTGGATGGTAGCATCCGTGCACCCAATTGCGAGGTGCGCATCGTCGGGAGACCAAGAGCAGGCACGGATGGTTGTGCCCTCCATCCGGAGGGCGTGCAATCTGTCGACCTCTCCGCCGCCCTTGATCGACCACACGACAAGTTCGTGGTCTCCAGCTGATGCGAGACAACGACTGTCTTGAGAGAAGGCGAGAGACACGAAGTGCTCCACCTTTCCGACAGCGGACCACTCCCGCGAGAGAACCTGCCGGCGGGCATCCCAGAGGATGATGGCTCCGTCTGAAGCGGCGCTAGCAACCCATCTGCTATCTGGCGAGACGAGCAGTGCTTTCACGGGACGGCTATGCCCTCGCGCAGCCGTCGTCTCGGCATGTGCGGTGTCCGTTGCTGACGTGAGAAGGGATGGTTAGTCTGATTGATATTGGTGACGCAGTCCTCATACTCACAGCGTGGTAGCTCCACCCGAATCGCTCCCTTCTTCCATAACGTCCGGAAACGCTTCTTCAGTGCCATGTTCCGCAGGTTTCCCTTCAAGGGCTTCGAGTCCCTGCCGCCCCCAACGATGCGGAACTGCATACTATTCCGGGGGACCGCAAGTAGAACTTGTTCCAACTGATGGCAAGCCTCAGAAGTACCTTGTTGAGACAACATCGCATCCAGTGCCCAGAACGAGGAGCCGTAGCACTCCACTCGTATCTCTTGCAGCGGCAACATGGTGGAAAGGTATTTGAAGAAAGCAGCAATACCCCAGACAGACCGTACAAAAGTCTCTAGATGAGGGTCGACAGGCATGGATAGCGTTAAGGAATCCAGCTGAGATAGCTGCTCCGCAAGAGCCAGCAACTGCACTAAGGTAGTCATGAGGGCGGTGCATGAATATACGCAATAATACAAACTTAAATCCAAACACGTACGACTATTGGATTGTTGACGCGTAACGACAAGAACGAGTTCTCGCAAAGTGAGCTTGCTTATCTCCAGAAGAGACGCTACTGCAGCCTCGGACACGTCTCTCCGGACCTGTGACTCGTTAAGAAACCTCAGAGAGAATTACAGGGAGGACTTACAATCAGGCGCGACAGACGGCATTGCTGAGCGAGCCGCTGGTAAGTCGTAGCCATAGTAGGGGTCACCCCCTCGGTCTTGACGTTGATCTCCTCGCACACCAGACTGTGCAGACCAGAGAACGCAGAGACGAACCGAACAAAATCCATGCAGCCCGAGAACGACAGAGCGTTGATAGACAAGTGAGAGATATTCGCCGTGTACTTCCTGAGGCTGGCGAGGGTGGAGTGGTTTAGCGACAGCCAGTGCTGGCCCCTGAAGTCGAGGGACTGATTCGTGACCCTCCAGCGGTGCAGGTTGGGGAGGCGAGTGAGTAAGGGAACAGGGATGGTCTCGAGAAGCGTGAAGGAGTTCGGCTCGCCGTCCGTGGTGGACAAGGTGACGCACTGTACAAGAGGACAGATGTACGGCCTCTCGTCCAGAAACTCTCGGAGAGTGTTCATCTGATTCTTGTTACGGACGCCAATGTCGACGAAGAGATTATAGCGAGCGCGCGGCAATAGTCCACGACAGACTAGCGCAACAGTCCGGAGAGACGGTACATCATCACTGAGCTGGTCGACGACCATCTCGATGACCTCCACCGATAGGCGTGTGTAACACATGTGAACGAGCAAGCCCTGGCAGAACGAGGTGAGTACTGCCAATAGGGACGTCTTACAGAGCACTTATATTGTAATGATACGGGTGTCGCCTGATTCACACAAGTCCAAAGTACACTGAACCAATCTCTAGATTGAGAGGGCGTATACTATGGTGGACGTGGTGAAAGGCTGAGAAGCCTTCGCCACGTCGCGCGGATCCAGATGGATCAGCGCCGATCACCATGACGATCCAGATTTAGATACAAGATGTAGATTAACTATGTAGATAAGATAAGATAATGAACGATCCGTTACATTCTCCCCCTTCAGAACCTGTGCCAGGTTCTCATATGATACCAATGAGGAATAGGGAGTGCATGGAATAGCCATGTCCATATGAGAGAAGGGAAAAGCATAAGCGTCCGATAGGACGCGCGATGATGATGCGAGAGAGGAAATGTTGATGCGGCGGACGTGATACGAAATTGCGGGTAGACGATGC